TTTTTTGTGGATGTTCTGACATTGAGAGAGTCGTAAGTTGGGCGTGGCCTGCGAGAAATTACAAGTTAAGTAACTATGAGAACAATGAGGTCCAGATTCTAATCGGTCGCTCTGTTTACACTTTTTCTATTGATTAATCTGTACTTCGTAAATTGTGAAATGACGTAGAGTCTTACAACAAATACCTTCTTAGGTTGTATTGGAGAACGAGCATTTACGAGCCAGCATTAATGAATTGGAAACGCGACAATTCCAATGCGAAGGCAAATTGAGCGAAATGATGGTTTCTGCACAGGAATATGCCCACTTATTAGAAGAAGCTCAAGACACTATACACTCTTTGAGCGAAAACAGGCTTGAATCTGACATTGAGAATCTCGAAATTTCGCCTGGACGCAGCCGTAATAATGCAGCGAAGACCAAAAATAAAGTAAGCACTTTGTGCTTTGGGCCCAGTTACAAAAATAATATTTGAATTGTTGCAAGCATCCTTGATGTTTGATTTTGTGATATTTCCACAGACTAACTTCATTATTTACTCTATCCATTCAGGAATCGCTCCCTCCAATGAAAGGTACACCTTTCTCCACCGAAGTTGAACAATCATTGGAAAAGACTATTGAAGAACGTCTGAAGTCACAGATGTCTCCCAGAATTAACATCGGTCCCCCCGTAGATACGAAAAAGGGACTCAAGTATCTCGTGCCTGAAGTTAAAGAATGCGGAAAGGGAAAAAGCTCCGAGAGAAGACCATCTAGGGGCTATGTTTTGCACTCTTACAACATCCGTTGATCAATGATTGGTTCTGACACACTGGTTCTACTTGCTGCATACTAATTAATCCTGCTAGTAGTGGACATTGGACTTATAGGTAGACTCTAAATGGGCTAATTACTAATTAATTTCTTCAAAACACAAGAAGCTCCGTATATTGTTATCATCGACATAGAGCATTCAAAGACTATATACTCCAACATGTTCTTTTTCCGTTTGTACATACTCTTTTCCATGGCTTGCCGCCGGAAAGACCCTTTTTCAAATTCTGATGTGGTCGCCCTGCATCCTCTCCTTTGTTATCACATCCTTGTCGCAAACTCATTATGTTATTTACAAACGATTCACTGTCTTGCTCTTTGCCTTCATTTTCTCACTCATGACAGTAGTTAGTCAACTTTACTGCTGCCATTTTGATTATAATGCATTCATCATTTTTATACTGTTCATTACAACTATATTTCCTAACAAGAAAAGCATTCCACATATTTCATGCTGTTTTCCGATGCATTGTCTGTCTGCGCATGTATTGGTCGGATGCGGGGAGGCGTCTCTACTAAGTAGCAAACTTCACCCTTCGAGGAAGAGAAGCTCAAAAAATAACAACCGCTTACGCTTCCAGTATCGGAAGACTTTTTAATTTGATTAACTCACTTTTTCTATACGTCTCACTCAGTAACGTACTAAGAAAACGTCTATAGGTATTCTTCTCTTTTGAAATAATAATTGCACCATAATATCGCTTTTAACATTTGTGCTCTTTCTTTGGAAGCCCACAAAATTTGAAGGTGAATTCACCCTCATGGTCTTGTTTTGAAAAGCCATGGTTTTCTTTCGTGAGCAGACCTCAGTCCGTAATGGCGCACAATTTCACATATTGCCGCACATTAATACATGCTTTTGAGCGTGAAATATTTTCAAGCGAAATCGCGTTCAGAGTGATAACAGGTTCATGGCGGAAAGCACTGATCGTTCTGTGGGATGGTAATAGAAAACGCTGATTTTGAGAAATTCTGCGCGCACAAAATCATCGTCACAATCATATACAGTCAACCCTCCATAAAAGAACATGGTTGGGACAGTCAAATTGTGTTCTATCATAGAGGTGTTCTCTTATGGAGTTATTCAAGATTATATAACAAAATATCTGTCAAG